GGGGGAAAAAGTAATAGATAGCATGTTGGCCTGGCAAAAGAGCTGACAGAGCATTAATCAGAAGCAGGGTTGAGGGTAACTGCAAGGGTCTGAGTCAGCATCACAGACTACAAGACCGTTCCCCCGACAACCCATCAACAAACAACAGAGAATGGCCAACAATCTGTTGGGGTTTCCTCCCCCTGTTCCCAATGCTCCATCTTACCCTTGTGTCTGTTTATCCTACCCCTATCATTATCCCTCCATCATATTTGTGTATTCTCCCCAGAGCTTGAACAAAGCTTTTCTTTAATGATCAGTAAGCACCTGTTCTAGATCTGTGAGACACTGATGGAAAATCAGGTTAAATCATCTTTGCGTTTCTGCAACCTTTTGTCACATTAACCTTCGCTTTGTCATTCTTGAACATAAATTTTAAGGGGAGTTATCAGCCTTTCACTTGATATCCAAATGTCCATCTATGCAGCTTCCATACAACCTCCCATCCTTCTGCTTTTCTACTCTTTAACTGACAACTGCGATTCATATCAGCTGCATAGAAGCCCACCGAGAGCTTGACTGAGGTACATCAGCAAGTAGTCTGAAAGCACCAAAAAACATGATGTGATGATAAGACTTTAAAAGGATTACATTTTTATTAGGTTAGCTGAAAAAGCAGAAAGTCAGAGGATGCTTCCTTACCCTCTATTATAATTGAGGTGTCTCCTAATAAGGGGCTAAATCAGGATCTGTTGCAGAGGAGTCATTAAGTAGCAGCACTGTTTACTCTGTAAACAGTAAGCACAATGAGCAAAAACCCACTCTACAAATGAAAGTAAAGCAAAATTAAAATTAACTCGAGCAGTGCAACCAGTGCAAAGAGTCTATAATGAGAAAATGTGGGTTCATAAGGCCTACACACAAAGCACGGCAACATCCTTTAATAATTTTGTGTTATAAAAAGAAAAGAAGATTTTCCTGATTACGACATATTACTCATCTTTAAAATTAAAGTCATGTGCAAAGACTTAAGAGCAACAAATTAGCAGAATGGAAACCTGATTGTTAATATGATTGCTATGCTACCCGCCCTTCTCTGCAGATACCCCTCTGGACTGTGAAGTGTCAGTGTGGTCTCCCTGGGGCTTGTGCAAGGGCAAATGTGGAGAGTCAGGCGTTCAGCACCGCACACGCTACATCATAATGCACCCAGCCAACAATGGAGCAGCCTGTCCCCTGCTGGAGGAAGAGCGGAAGTGTTTCCCAGACAACTGTTTATGACTAGGCCAGGAAAGGAGGGAAAAGAAAGAGAGGAAGGAGAGGAGAAAGAAGAAGGAGAGGAAAGCCAGAAAAGGGAGGAAAGGACGAAGACGCAACAGCAACAGTAAAAGGTCCGCGATTTAATCACATGAAGTTTAACCATCACAAACCAGCTTCCATCGGTTCTCCCTGGCCAAACTGTTTCTGTGGAAATCACTAATATACATGCCGATTATGTGACTGTTCAACTGGGAGAGTGTGCCTTAAAAAAATCCTTAATCTTCCGTTCACATTGATAGATCTGACAGCACTAAAGAGGTGTAGTTTGGCAAAATAGCCATTAGACACCGATTCAGTTTTGGCAGATTATCAGAATTGTCTGGGGAGAGATCAGTGCTGTTTGGTAATTAGAAAATGAGCTGAAAACACAAGTTGGCACTGTAATTGGATTTGCTCTGACACTTCTGAAGATCACAAACATTTGTTTGCTACTCCCAGTAGCTTTTATTTAGAAATAAATCCTGGCATAAGATCCAAAATTATACAAATGATATCAAACTAAGAAAAGGTGGAAATACGGTGCTTCAATAGCCCCATTAGCAGAAGTAATATGATAACAAAAGTGACATATACACTTTCCTAAATTTAAAACATAATGTTTAAAGAAACATTGCGCTTGTTTTCCTAAAGAAAATGGATATATTTATTGACAGGATTTTAACCTGTAGTGTACAGCATATGAAATCTGAAATAATTTGTATTCCTTCACGTTACTGAGTTAAAACAGAAAAACTTGCTTTGTAAAATACTAAAACACTAAAAATATGTGTATTTTTTTTTGTAAAGGTCAATAAAATGTAAATACAACTTACAATACTGTTTCCTCTTTGATTCCTGTTTTCTCAAGAAACAAATGGTGGCGTCGTTTAATTAAAACTGTCGATTATCACCTCTAAATATTAGGCATGCATTAAGTTAATATTACTGATGTTGGGTTTGCAGGATCCAATGGAGTGTAGAGGACAAGCTGACCTCGGTTCACACAGTTTTGGACTGAATTCACTCTAATGAAGTGTTGGTGTTGGTCATAAAGTGAACACAAGTGATCTCCAGTGATTAAAGAGTTCATGAAATGTTTAGAACTCAAAGTTTAAAATCTTAAAGCAAGAAATTAATTTCACATAAAGGCTATAAAGCATAAATCCAACTGCACAAAAATATATATGTACATAGAAAAACGACCTTTTCTTTCAGGGCACGATGAAGACGACATAATTTTAAGTAAACGATATTAGCGTAAATATGTAAAACAGATATTCCCACCAAGCCAGCACTGAAACTGCAGACGGCAGACTGAATAGCAATAAGAACGAAACATCTGGGACATGAGGGATGTCCTTCCGTTCGGAATGACGAGGGAGAGGAAAATTACTGAGC